GGGCACCTGTGGGGGGTGAGCAGATGGTGAGAGGGGGCTGTGGGTCAGGAGTGAGGGGCACCTGTGGGGGGTGAGCAGATGGTGAGAGGGGGCTGTGGGTCAGGAGTGAGGGGCACCGGTAGAGTTTTCCAAGACTTGGGGTACCGTGGCCGAGGTGTCTGAATGTTCCTGTCTGCTGTGGGGGTGGGGCTTCGAGGTGCCTCCCACTGACCCTCCCGTCTCTCTCTGCCCCCCAGACTCCAGCCCCACCACGACGTACACGCGGGAGTTGTATGATTTCCCTCGTCGTGAGGGTCGCACCGGCTACCTGGGCGATGGTGAGTGGGGGGCGGGTAGAGGGGGCAGCATTTCCTCTGGTGGGGGTGGCAAGGGGAGGATACAGAGCAGCGAGGATGTGGGGGGAATACGAAGGCAGGAAGGGGAGTCTGGTACGATTCCCTTGGCCTGGGCTTGACACCCCATCCCCCGCGCCATGTTCACATTCCTGCAACAGGGAGTTCCAGGGGTGGAGCTCCAGTGGGGAAGGGGAGAGCCGTGCCCAGCCCCCCATCTCACCCCACTCCTCTCTGCCCCCAGACATGGACACCGAGTCCTACGAAGAATCTTCCTCCTCCTCCTCCTCCTGGCTCTATGGGGCAGCCCCAGGTCCCCTGGGGGAAGCCACCGCCCGCCAGCCGGTAAGTCAACCCCTGGGTGTGGGGGGTGGGACATAACCTCCCCAAATAACATCTCAGGGGTGCGGGCGGCCTGGGAAAGGCAGAAGGCACGGGTGTCTCTCTCTCCCCCCACCCCTTTGGCGCTACCAACTTTCCAGTCCCCTCACTCCCCCCTGCTTGGTCCTACCACCTCCAACCCCCAACTCTGCCCCCGTCCCAGCACCGTGGGGGGCAATCCTGGATTCGGCCGCTGGCCCGGCCTGAAAAACTCGAACCTTAAACCGTTTGCTGCCAGGAGATGTTGGGCCCAGCGGAGCCGGAACTGAATTTTGGCAAAAGTGTCTAAAAACCGATGCAACTTCCCGGGAGCTGATTTTCGGCCGGGTCGATAAATTCTCTCGTCGGTAGTTTGCCCCTGTAGGAAAGATAAAGAACCAGCCCCGGAGAGTTTAATACAGACAGAAACACTGCCCGTCTCCGGGACACCGTCTTGTGCCGCGGCGTTACGTCCCCCAACGCGGTCAGCTCCCAAAACGACCCTCGTAATGGATGATTTGACAATTTACCAGCCTCTCCCCAGCCCTAAAGCCCAGTCCGGTTCTTTGGCTTGTTCTGTCCCCTGGCCTCTCACGTACCCCCGAGCGTGTCCTGGGCAGAACATTTCTACTCGGGACAAAGTTCTCCTGTTCTAAGAGCGAAAACCCACTTCAGCTTCGCAAAAGGAGGCGGCGTGTATTTGAACAGGGTGATCGGGAGCCGGAGGCCGGTTCAGGGCAGGGACCGGCTAGAAATGTATTCTGAGATACTGTTCTGGTGATAGCGTGAACTTTCTTTGTGTACGTGATGTGATAAGACGTATTGAGGATGTGTGTGTGTGTGTGTGTAATATAACCCCACAAAAGTGAGTTTCAGGAAACTTTGTTTTGAAATTGGATTTCATTATTTCGGGGCTAAAATTTGGCTTGGGAATTTGGTTCCCCTGCCAGTTCGGGTTCATTTTTCTGTTCTCTCACGGTGGTTACGTTATTTGAACAGGCTGTGTGAGATCGAGACAGAAATTACCCGCCGTTCCGCCTCGTGAGATAATGTCGTCATCTAAACAAGTCGAGATTTTCCCCCCAAAAGGCTCTTTTCTAACCAAAAAAATAATTGTTTGGAGCCCGTCCATTTTCTGGGTAATTTACAGTCGATTTCTTGCCTGGCGCCCGTTGTTTGCGGACGGGGTTCGGAAGCGAGTGACTGTCGAGCTGGGTGACGTTTTTCAGCCCGTGGCAGCGTGCGGCGGAGAGATTCTGCGGTGGGACCAGTCCTGGGGCTCTCCCCCGGTGGGGCGTCCCCATTGCAAAGCCTGGGCGGGCGATCACGCTGCATTGGGAACCTGGGTTTACAATTGCCGGCCCTGGGGCTCCCGGCTGAGACTGGGCTGCGTAGCCGGGGCTGAGGGTTTTCTGACCCTCTCCATGTGCGTGTGGACCGTCGAGGGGCCCGCACCTGACAGCGAGCCCAGGGCAGCGATGCTTTTGAGAGTCGCTCGGACTGGGGGGGCTGGCTGGGCTTGTGAAGCCACAGCCAGTGTTTCGCCGTTCGCCCCCCAGGGGCGTGTGGGCACCGCTAATTTATCCCCCTTCCCCCCGCAAAGTCGTAAGTTAAATCTCCACAAGCGGCAGTATGCGGGAGGTTCCCTTTTCGCTCGCCGCGGCCACTCAGGTTAGCCGCCAAATTCAGCCCCCATAGGTAGGCGCGGCACAAATCGGCTTTCATTGATTTTAATAATTGCGTCAGATAACGGTTGGTTTTGAGCCCCTTTTATTCCAATTTTTTATTTTATGGGTTGAAATGTTCTCAGGTGAGAAATTCTGGGTTTGAAGCATTTTTTTTTAAAATCCATTTACATTTTCCCAGGTGGGAACAACAGTGGAACGATCGTGGCCCCTGAGATTTAGCCTGAATTCCCTCTGCTGGATACTCTAGGATCAACCCCACACCTAGAGATACTCGCCTGCTCGGCTAAATTGGGGGGGGGTTAAGCATTTTTATTTTAGTCTATTTCAATTTGCACAGTTGCGGGGGAAAAGGGCAGGGATCGGGGGAGGGGAGACGATAATTATTTGATGACCCTGGACAGCGAGATTGAAAAATGTAAACTTCATACCCGTTAAAACAGCAACATCCCGTATCCAAGTCCCCGGAAATACACTCTAACGAGCGCTCCCACCTCTCCATTTCTAGTATTATCCCTTTTTCTTTTTGGTTCTGTGTGTCTGGGGAAATTGAGGCTTACCGGGATCGACCGCTAAAAATCGACTCCGTCCCGTTGGATTTGCGGTCGACGCGGTGGCAAATGAAAATTGAATCCCACCCTTCTAGTTCCTCCCTTTTTATTTCTGAGCAAGGTCTCAAACGTGAGGTCCAGGCCCGTCAACGCTCTCGTTACGTCGCGGGGGGCTGGGCGAGATGTTACACCCACTTCCGGTCAGTCTCCAGGAGAGTTCTTCGCCGCCGCCATCTCTTGGAGAGGCGGCTGCAGTAGAGGGACGGGAAAACACCTTTTTACTCCCCTTTCGAAGGGAGTTAAATGAAGTGGCCTTAATTTAGCGTCAAGTCTCTCTACTCTAGTATCAAAGTGCAGCTGCAGGGAGGGTCCATAAGGCACCTATGAACCCAGCAATGCTGGCCACACTGTTGTTTCAGTTAGGGTGAGCTGTCCCCTTCCTCCATTTGTACCCCCCCAGACCGCTTGCCTTTAGTATCACATGTCTTCTAGTATCTGCTGTCCCCACAACAATAGGAGGCAGTTTGGGTGTGCAGGATGTGGGGAGGGGAAACCCCAGTTTAAGGCTTGTATTGCAGCACCGGCCCTGTAGAGGGGATATGCAAATTACCCCCTAGGCAGAGCCGGAGTATGCAAACGAGGGAGGGCGTGGCCTGCATTACCAGGCTGCCCCTGTAGAGGGGGTTCTGCCCCCCCCGCTGATGGTGCGTTTCCTTGCAGATCGGAGAGGCCGCGTCCTACACCCCGAGCAGGTCGGAGGAGACCGAGAGGTGAGATGGGGTCGTGGCGTGGTTGGGTACCCCTTGGGAGGGTGCTACCTGGCATTGAGCTGGGGCGAATGGGGGGGAGAGGGGGGACGGTGTGGTTTGTGGGGGGTGCTGCTAGCCGTGGGGGCAGAAGTGGGGGAGATGCCAGGATGGGGGGAGCTGTGGGGCTGTAAGCACTAACCGCTGCCCCCCCTTTATTTCCCTCGCCGAGCAGGGACGGCATCTCCTACCAGCGGGTCTGCCAGGCTCGCCCGGCCCCGCCCCCCATGCGGGTGGAGCCGCGCCGCGCCATCCACCCCCTGCCCCGCGGGGGGCCGGGCGGGGCCGCAGGGGGAGGCTCCCGGCGCTTCCTGCCTCTCTGGCTTCAGCTGCTGCTCTTCGGGGTGCTCGCGGCCTTCCTGGTCTACGTGTACTGCGCCCTGCAGGGCGGCGCCGACGACAACCCGTTCGCGCTGCACCATGAGGAGTGAGGGGGCGCCCGGCCTGTCCCCTCCCCCATGGGCCCACGACCCATTGCCCTGCCCCCCGACGCCCACGTCCCGTCTCTCAGCCCCCCTGTCCCGTCCCCCTCCTCCCCAGGCA